AGGTGCCCACAGCTAGAATGGCCCTTTCAAAGTGTTTATTACTCCACACCAAGATCCTCAGTAGACAGCAGAGCTTCGACCATCTTTCAGCGGGGATGCTTAGCTTCACTTCTGTTGCAAACAGAGGGAAGCAGCTGCTGCTCTGAATGATGAAACTCTAACTGTGAGCAGTGGTATCAGCCTCACTGAGAACTGCCTTGTTGTGATGTTGTGGGAAAGGAAAAATATTTTCTTGAACATCATTTAAAGCTAATCTGACAACAAAAACATTCAAAAGCTTTGATTATTGAATGGGCTCATTACAGGAAAAGGAGAAGATAGCATTGAACCATTCAGGCATGTAGTACAGGTGTAATTACTTGGGATACAGGAGATAGCAATGTATCAAATCAGCAGGCAAAGGATGTAAGTGGTGCACTTGCAATGGCCTCTGCTGAAGGTAATGACATGATTATGACAAGGCCTATATGATTTTCAGCAATGTAATATCGCATGTCTTTCTACTAAGAATGTCAAAGTAGTTGATGACTTTAATGAATCAAGATTCACCTTCTGTTCAAGATGAACTATTTTCAGATCAGATTCAGTTCTTCTTCGACAGCAGAGTACATCAGAATTTTTGTTTGATTTGATGGATTTAATCTCAGAGATCTGTTACGCTATTAGGATTACCAGAAAGGAGAACCTGGCCACATAATGGTTCAACAGCGGTATTATTTCTGTCAGTGTAATGGCAATACAGCTTGAAACTTCATGATACAACTTGAAACTGTAAATTCACCACCCTGTCAGAAAGTTTTTGTTATATCCCCATGTAGAGATCTGCACACTTGGTTGATAGAGGGTTCAGTCACCTTTCTCAGAATCAATACTTATATATATGTGTGTGTCTGTGTACAGAATAGATATATTGTTATAATAATTTTAACCACTATTTGGGTAGCATACTGGATGGGACAGATGAATAGTCTGATTTGGTACAGCAAACGCCGTGTACAAACGGTCAGACAGAATACCTCCAGTATGCCATCTCTATATGCTATACACTTCTGTTTGAAAAACCATTACCAGGGCACATTCATGCAGAGAAACAATTTTAGAAGTCTATCCACATCATAAAGTAATCCTAATTTAGACTAAAGGATTATGGAATGTTTCTCCTGTGCCAGAACTGTAGCTTGGAGTGGCTATGACCTGCAAACATGATGTTATTTATGTAGTTAGTTTTTAAAAATAAAAAAGTTATGCCAGAGCGATGAGGGTTAAAGTTTGTATTCTGAGGGTTACTGGTGAATTTGTCATGCTGAGGTAATAAAAAATAAATTGGGGAACTAGAAAGGAAAGTCTAGAGAACATAAGGCATACAGTGCCTCAGGGAAAAACTCGTATGTAATTAGTACTGTACACTGCTCTGAAAAGATAAAACCGTATGTAAAAAAGATTATAGAGTCAGGGGGAGGGAGAAAGGACGGATCTTGGAGCTCCAAGAGAAAAGAGAATTTCATCACGTATTGGCAGATACTGTCCATGTAGGCATTCAAGTAATTTTCTTTCATCCCATAATATTTCACAGTACTGACCTGTGATCTTAGAGCCAGGGTAATTTGTCCATTCTTAGCAAGCTTATTCCTCAAAGGTTAGTCTTAGATGTTATTTAAGTGATACTTTAGCACAGTTCTCTAATCAGCAGAACAATTAAAAAAGTTTAATGTACTGAAAGAACTCAGACCCTTCCAAGATCACTTTTTTCATTCTCATCTGTTTGAAATCCTTTTAGAAACAATATTTACAGTAACTACACTTCTGAGAGAGCATTCTGGGCTAAAAGCCAAAGGAAAGATGCCCTTCCTTTCACCCAGATTAACCAGCTGGTTAAGTCCAAAATCCATGGGACAGTAGTGACCAAACAGCATTTGAGTAAAGCATCAACCTACTAGAATGGCTGTATTAAGGGAATCAGTTTGTGCCTTGAAGCATGAAGGCTTTAGTAAATACATTCATTAGCCTAGCTAATATCACTACCAATTCAACCCATGTTTGTGCAAGTGTCTTTCCCATCTCTCTTTAAAAAAAACCACTTATTTGAAATTGTGTTTAAAATTAAATTGTCACTATAAAATGCAGAAACAAGGCAGCCGTTTCTAGTGATGAAAAAAGAAGATCAAGTTTCCAAGCCCAGCTCAGCTAAAACTTTGCTGTGCATCGCTGGCAAGTCACTTCACCTCTCTGTAATGTAGGACACACCTAGAAAGTACAGATATTTAAATGGAATGGGGTACTGAAAGCCAAAAAGCTGCCTTCTCAGGAGGCCTGTTCATTTTTGCAGATTGTCAAGTTAGTTAAGCCTGTATGGCTTTAGTGCTTCTGTCATCTTATTACATCTGTCATTACATTCATGTATGTAGGACTGATTATAACTGTAAAGCGAGAGCATTCATACTCACCTGTCTTAAGGGCAAATGGGCAAAATGACCTTCAATAGGCAAAAATGTGTGTAGACATTAGGCTGTAATTCCTGTATAACAGGAAAGGCAGCATTACTGTCATTTAACCACGATGGTTGTATACTTCCTTTGCTGCTGCTCAAACGTACAAAGAATGGTGGAAAGCTAAGCTGACAAGACTGACTCTTTCAAGGGAGCTGCAAAATAAAGATTTTTGAAAGGTATCAAGGGATTTATGGATACCACTTGCACTGACTGGAATATGGCTTGCAGCCAGCCCTGAGCTTCAGATCAAGTGTGTGATAATCATTATATTTTGTATAGCAATTTGAGGAACTGAAAGAAGACAGAACAGCTATATCACTCTTAAACCAAAACCAGACTCTGGAGAGAAGGAGGACAGGTAGAGGAAGACAAGGCCTTATTGTACTGTAAAAACTAAAGAAACTAAAATGAGCCCCAAAGACACAGGCACATCAAGTGTTGATAGCAATACTTCATTGCTGGTAAAACATATGGCATTTTCTCAGCCACAGTGGGTAGGCCCTTCTGACTAATATTAGATACTGAACTTGCCAGTGAGTATGTTATGGTATGTATCTTACAGCTTCACTAAGAGGAGAATTTAAAGTGAAAATACTGGTAAGGGAAGAAACATGGTGAAAGGAATGAAGATAATTTCCATTATGTCAGGCAGTAAATCAGAAGAGACTGCCTACAACAGTAGTTCCAGATGTGTGGCTAACAGAAACCCCTTGCCTGCCACACTTCTTATACTGTGCTCATGGCCAGAGAACTACTGTCAAGCTGCAAACTGATGGGGAGGGCAAAGTATAACATTGTAAAGAGAACATTACATCGGCACTGCTGTTGCAAAAACAGAGGGCACTGGTGTATGGTTGCAAGTGTAGAAAATAAGTGTGGGAACAAAAAAAGAAACTGCAAATAGGTAGAAGATGACAACGTTTGAAAAGTGATGTCCGTTATTAGAGTAATGGCTATAACTTGTAAATACCAGACAAGCTTGAAGACACTGTAACTTCCACAAACTAATGTAAGAAGGTGTAAGAGATCAGGACATACAGCTAACTTGAACAGAAAAGCCTTTGTTCTCTGGGAGCTGTACAAAATTCTATCTTGTGAAATAACCATTTTAGGCAGATCTCTCAATGTTAACAATTTCAGGACGTGTTCAAAGGGGAGTGGTAAAGATGAAAACTTCAAAATTCAGACAACAAAACCAATCTGAGTTTAGATGTGCACATTTCACATTGTCTACCAATCCGCCTCCAGGTTATTCTGCTTTCTTAATAAAAATGGGAATGACACACAGTGCTATTTTGTGTTTAATCTTTTATCTGTGGGATTGTCAAGTTTGGGTGCAAGAAAGAAACAGGAGTAAGTATCACTAGATAGGAAAGTAAGGGGAATTGCTTCACTGGGACACCACCAGCATTTTTTTCACTGAACCACTACTAACGGAACATGTTTTCTCCATAACTTTTCCACAACTCATTTCACCACCACATCATATTATGATGTCATATTCATACTATGTCATATTCAGAAACCTGGGAGCAGAAGCTAAAGCATGGGCCTCTCTTTCCTTCCACTTCCAATTTTAAGACCGGCATTTCTAGGTGCATCAGCTACAGTTTTCCATGCCAAAACATAACTGGGGTGCAACACATCCCAAAACCCGACTCCTCCTGCCATGCCTTGTTTACTAAAATCTCAGTCAATATAAAACGTTTTTGCTCCAGGCAAATATAAATGTGACAGCTTCTCCTGCTGCTGAGGAGAGTTTAGATTATAATTTTTTCTAAGAAAATTTTGTGCTGATAGGGTGCTACTAAATCATGTTTTGGAAACCTTGCTTACAGGTTAACTACAAGACAAGTCAGGTATTATGAACTTTCTCTATGCATGCAAACACACAAGAAACTCAGCTCTATAGCACTCCATTCTAAAGAAACGCTTCATAACAATACCGCGTATTATGCTTACAATGCATTAAAAAGCTTTACAAGAACATTAAAAAGCAATTGAGGAGAAATTACATTCATGCCTGATCCCTCTTGACCCCACCACTTTCCACTGGAGACATCAAAAGGAGAGTTAACAATGCCAGATATACAGTTGCCAGAAGCATTTTTCTTTCTAGGCATCTTGCCTCAGGTGGAACGATCACACTGGGTGTCTCAGTGACACAACAGTCTGATTTCTGGAGAGCATCCTTAAAGTTTCTGGGAAATCTGGATATTTCTTTGCTTTGTGCTTCTGACTAAAAAAAATAACCCACACCAAAACACCCTTTTATTATTTTCTTTCCTCTGTTCCAATAAATACCCGCCTTCTGAGCACAGTCCTGGTACTCCACTGACAAGGATTAAAACTTGATGCACCTGCATCGGAAAGGAAAACACATTAAACCTTGAGCCTTGCAGCTAAGCTCTTACTTGCTTAACTCTGCAGAAAATGTGATGTTAATTTAGCCAATGCATCTACCCTTAAAACTTCATAATGAAAGAAGCAAGCAGCCAAGCAGATCTGTACCTTTGAGGCAGGTAGTTGCACTCTGCTCTTTCAGGATCTGTGTTGAGACACAGCAGTGGGGAATGTCATGAGTCTCATAACAAGATAACCAACTCGCCTCCTGTCTTCAGTGCAAGAGCTTAGCAAGGGCTGAAGCCTGCAGTCATGTGGGGCACACAACTGTTCACCAAGGCATCTTCATCTCTCCCTCATGAAATACTGGTAATCGAGTCAGCAGGGTGCAAACCACAAACCACGCAGGAACTCAGAGGCACAGCAGCTTACCAAGCTGGGTGTGGGACTCTGCTTAGCGTGGTTTTAATCCACTACTGCAAGGGTTACAGCTGCTCTGGAGCAGTTTCTCTGAATGCTACAGCAGTTTGCTGCTCCAGCTGCATGTCATGTGCTGAAGGACCCCATAACTTGCTCAACACTCAGTTAAGTATTTAATATATCTGTCCGGAAAGCACTGGCCTCTTGGGACACAAGTAGTGATCTCCAGGAGGAAGCCATCAAAGGTCTCCTAAAATGTGCCTTCTTCTCTAGTAAGAGGGTGACAATTGTGGTCATAAACTACCTGCGTTTGAACTTGTGGGGCACCTCTACTGATACACATCCTGTTAGATGTGATGGAGTCCATGGGTGTATGCATACAGTGCACCCACACACGAAGATGTGCTTGTATCTCTGTAAGCTAACACAGGCAAATACAAAGACCACCTTGTGCCTGTGTAGACACAGGCCAAGGGGGAGTTGATACAAGAAAGATTCCAAGATTACATCAGATTCTGTGAATTGTACCACCTCGGGTGCTGTCTTCAAGATATGAGAAAGGAGGTATGAATATCTGATTCTTACAAGAACACAAAAAAGGCACATTTGCCTATTCAGTTACTGCATCAGTTTAGTCACTAGCATGGGTTCACCGCGGGAAGCCGCTGGCCTGGACACAGTGACTATGGTCTACCATCAAAAGCAATAATGATTTGTCTGGTCAACAGCGGTGTTACAGCTCTTTCAGATGGCAAAATATAAATGGGTCACATAAATGCCATCAAAACAAAAATAAAACTGTAATTACGGCCTTCTCCTCAAGTGAAAAAAGGCTGAAAAGACACCGCTGGGTTACCACACTAACAGATCTCCCTCACACCTCTGCCAGCGCCTCCCCTGACACTCTTACAGAAAATGACAGGGGTCTCCCGTACCTCGCAGCAGGGGCGGGAAGCCAGGGAGGGGTGGTGCTTGAGGAGTGATTGACAGCCCCTTTGAACACAAGCACCCTATGGGGGAAGGAAGTGTTGGTTGGAAGCATTCTGATTGGATGACAAGAGAAAGGGGGTGGGTGCTTGCAGGTGATTGGCAGCGGTTGATTTCCCAGGGAAAAGGTTAGCATGCAGTCACGCTGCTGAGGCTCCCTGAGGTAATAAGGGGCCGAGGTCTTTGTGGTGCGAGTCATCCCCTGTGTCCTCATGTATGTCAACCCTATTGTTAATTAACTCCACACATTAATTACACTGGGGCAAGAGTTACCCTGCCCTATGCTCATCTTGTTGCTGCTGGGGCAAGGCCTCCTGAAAAGCTATTTTCCTCCCACCTTCTCCTTGCCCTTGGAGCTCCAGTCTTTCCTCCTGCCTGAGGGTTGCCAGGGTAGAGCAGGGCCACTGTGGGAGAAGGGATATGGGCAATTGGAAAACTAGTTCCTACTGGAGAGCAGGAGGTCCCCTTAGGAAGCACAGCTGGTCCTGGCCCTTGGGCTGCCTGGTACTGTGTTTCAGCCATTAGCACCAGGCATTTCAGAGAAAAGTGAAAGAATTGACATCAAGTGAAATTTCTACCTGCAGCCATCACTCTAAGACCAGTTAAAATCATAGCCTAGAAACATAACCTAAATTCTGTCAGGTAGACTGCAAGCCAGGAAAGGAGCATTTGCTGTGGCTGAAATAGATTCATAAATGACTTGAGTTCTTGAGTCAGTGAGATCCACGTGTCCTGATTTCTTGAAGACAGTTTTCTTCCTTGTTTGAGGATCTGGATGTGATTTCCTTTCCTTGAGTATGGTTCAGATCTTGGCCAAATGGTCCATTATTTTTCCCACCTGCAGCTCAAAAGCAGCTGAATAACGTTTCAAATCCTAATTACTGATGACTTTGAAGAACACACAGCCAGATTATTTGGGTTCTCTCTGTGTCCCTCAAAAGAGCACAGGTATTACAAATAGAAACGGGAAAAACTTTATTGTTAATAGTGAAATATCTAATATTGGAAGATGTATTTTTAATAATATCTTTTGTCCAAAAAGTTACAAAAAAGGATACAGCTGTTTTGTGAATTTCTATTAGTCTTTTGCCAGTTTTAATGGTCTAAGTGCTTCGAACATAAAATGTTCTGATTTTTCAGCTTAAACCAGGTCTTCATCTCAAAATTACTTTGAGGTAGAAAAAGGTAAAGCCACCTTAAAATAATGAAAAATATTTTGGGCAAAACACAACTTTCCATTTGGCCTAAGATAAAATACTCTATTCAGCTAAAAGCATTTTTTGTTTTGCATTAGAGATGTCAATCTTGTAAACAAACTGAAAATCAGTTATATATGCAGCATTGTAGCACTAATCACACAGAATTGGCTCAAGAACAGAAACAAAGAATGCAAGAATTAAATGTTGATGTCTTGTCAACTAAAACTAAGACCTAAACAGTATTCATTTATATGACATGATTTGTCTGACATTAACTGACAAACAAAAGCAAAAGGAAATTAATGCATGACTGTATCGAGGCTTCAGGCCGTTTTAGTCTCAGTGGCTCAATATGAATATTATTTAAATGTGAACACAATTTTATATTTCAGTTTGGGTTTGATTTTGTTTTTTATTCCCTCCCCTTGTCAGAGGAGGATCTTTCAGGCTACTAACTTGTTTTAGTTATGATTCAACTATTTTGGCATATTTTATGTCTAGCACATTCTACCATTTTAATGTCTTGGAGTATTGGGTAAATAACTGCAACTGAACATATATATATGATTTGTTTATGTAGAAGTCCTGTGTGGTATTGACCCCAAAATACTTGTAATGCTGTGTCATTGTAGTATATACTTTTTTCACCTCTGAAATATTCCTGAGCTCCCCCAGTGAGGGGGAGTTATATGCTGGTATTCTTCATGTTGTTCTTTTTTTTCCTATTCATATAGAACTTCAAGCTTTCACTCCTGAACTTTTTACCATTTACTAAAACCAAACAAACAGAAGACAGAATCATAGAATCAAATCAAAGCATGGCCTACCCATCAAAATCCTAGACCTACAAAAATCAAAGTGAGTGGGGACCCAGCAAAGGAAAACATGTTGTAAGTTTTGTGTTAAAGCAAGTTATGATTGCAGAAGGATTATCTAATTGCTTTGTAAAACAAAGCAAATCAATGTATGCTGCTATATAACTGATGTCACAGTGCAACTCTGTGAGAGAGGGAGAGAGAGAAACATACAAAGGCAAGAGGAATGTCATGATTGTAGTTTTTAATAGGTTCATTGAAACACATTATAAAATCGGCTTCTCTCAGCAGGAGAGAGACAGATAAAAATGGACTCCATTTGAAGTGCAAACAACAAACAGACACAGAGAGTTGTAAAGCATAAAGCATCCTCCTCATAAAGATCCCACTTTCTCAGTTCCAAGTGTTTGCAACTGTCTCTCCCTGTGGAATCTTAATTAAACCAATACATTTCTCATCTAAGTCATTTGAAGATGTGTGTAGTTTGATAAAAAGGTTAATTAGCCCTATTCTTTAAAAAATTTAAAAGGTACCATTTTGATCTTTTGCTTGAAATTCATGCGTATCCTTGCATTAAAAGAAAATATTCCTCTATCTGTACTGTAGTAGCTAGCAGAGAGAAGCAGCATAAGTGGGGCTGTGGGGAGGGGGCTCAGACGGAAAACAAACCCATTTTATGAATTTTGATATTTTTACCTTTTATTCTCATAAAGTGTCTTATAGATTGTCTCACTTCTTGAGGCTGGGTGTTTGTCAGGGCTTAAAATCAAATTGATACATGATGAAGACGGACCCTTCTCTGATGACTCAGCTCAGAATTGCACAGAAATCTACCCAGCCTGATGGTAATAAAAGGAAAGGAGGGGAACAGGAACATCTCATTAAGCTGTGAAATAACAATTCACAAGCATAATCTAAATCACTTGGAGGCTGCATTCCCTTTTTATGCTATTACTGCATTGACTAAAATGCACCTTGTATTGAGTATACCAGTTGTGAAAGGTGACATATCCAAGGAGGTGAGTCTAGGAACACTGTTGTTACAGTTTAGCAGAGGAATTGACAGACAAATGAAAGCTCTTGTTTTAATTCCTTCACCTCTGTGCTTGTTTCACCTCTCTTCTATTGTTTAGAGCCCTTCAACAAATCTGTAAACATAAGGGTTGCAACAGATTCCCTTCTCCCTAGCTGCAGATACTGTCCTTTTCTTGTAATGTAACTTCCACTGGATCTGACATTTGCATTTGGATCTCATTACAGGTGTGATCACAGCAGCACTGTAAGTCAACTGAAAATGGTTTAATAGTTGAAAGTGTTAGGCTATGTTTAAACAAGCTTACTGAAAAAAAAAAAAGATACATTTTTTCTTTTAGTTGCTAGTGCTCTATGTGTTCTTGGTAGACTTTGCATTGTGAAACATCTAAATATGGTGTTTTCAATGTGTGCCAAAGCACTTAGCTATTGTGGCAGCTATTATTTAGTAGAAGCATGCAACTTTTCTTCTAGTTTGGTGTCAAACTGTAGTCCTGCTAAAAAGAGAGGCTACTCTTATTCTCTGCATTTTTCCTTCGGGTCTTTCGTGGTTGCTGTATTTTTGGTTAAGGACAGTTGAATGGGACCAAAAAGTTATTGCAGAAAGCAGTCTCTTCTGTCTTCCTGTTCATAAATTTTGCTACCATGGAATCCCAATGTTGGCTGTCTTACACAGATGAAAAATAGAAAATTAAATTATTTCTGTCTTTGTTTCTCTCTCCAGAATTTTAAGTGAGTGATATCATAGAATCATTTAGGTTGGAAACCATCTTTAAGATCATCAAGTCCAACCATTAACCTAGCACTGCCAAATCCACCACTAAACCATGTCTCTAGAGTGCCACATCTACACATCTTTTAAATACCTCCAGGGATGGCAAATTAACCACTTTCCTGAGCAGTCTGTTCCAATGCTTGATAACTTTTTCAGTGAAGAAGTTTTTTCCTAATACCCAATTTAAAGCCCGCTTCATGCAACTTCAGGCCATTTCCTCTTGTCCTATTGCTTGTTACTTGGGAGAAGAGACCAACACACACCTCACTACAACCTCCTTGCAAGTAGTTGTAAGGCCTCTCCTCCGCCTCCTTTTCTCCAGGCTGAACAACCCCAGTTCCCTGAGTTGCCCCTCATAAGACTTGTGCTCTAGGCCCTTTGTCAGCTTCACTGCTCCTTCTTTGGACATACTCTGGCACCTCAGTGTCTTTCTTGTAG